GAGCAGCTCATGTCCATAGCGAGCAGCCACGTGCAGCGGCGTGTTCCCAAATTTGTCAGCGCAGTCGATCTCACTGCCTGAGAGGGGGTGCATACACACAGACTCAGGCAGGCCTCAGTTTCAGACCACACACATTAGTTACCATTTGGGTGCTCATTATGTGTTAAGCACTCTACATCTTGCCTTAGGGGACAGGAGGGCAGAGCAGAGCCATTTCCATGGTGCCCTGCTCAGAGCTCCAGGTGCCCAACTTGACTAGAAAATGGCGTAGGAGGCGGCATAAGGAAGGAAAGGGGTTTCTAGGGATGAGTTCTCTGAGGGAAGAGGAGGAAAGAGTACCGAGTCTCCCAAGTCCATACCATTCTGGATGAGGATCTGGGAGCGGGTGAAACGGCCATGGATGGCAGCCATGTGCAGAGGACTTTTCCCTTCTTTGCTCTGTGGAAACATGGAAATTTTTTTTTCTTTCAGTGCAAAGCACAGAGAATGCCCTGTTCCCCCTTCCAAAGGATACATCTCTGAGGATAGAGTGGTCATATGGACGTCATCTCAGCCCACATTCTCCTGGGTACCTGGCAAGGTTTGATCAACCCTGGAGGCAGGTGGATAATTCCCGAGAATTATCCAGAGGGAAAGGCATGGTCAGAACCCTCTCCCCACTGGTTGCAACCCCATCCCTCAGGCACCTGGTAGTTGACATCAGCCCCGTTATTAACCAACAGCTCCAAGCAGAGGGCGCCATTGGTGGAGACCGCAGCCACGTGTAGTGGCGTGAAGCCCTTGTCATTAGGCTGGTTAACATTGGCTCCTGCATTCACGAGCTCAACAGCCACAGCATCCTGGCCCAGGTAGCAGGCGATGTGCAAAGCTGTGTTTCCGAAAGCATTGGGCTCATCAATCTGGAAATCCAGGGGTGAGGGTAAGGGAATACAGGAAGTATCAGTTTCAACAAAGTGGAAGCTGACAGAGATAGCCTCGAGAATCCCATGATTTCAGTGACTGCCTCAAGACCTCTCAGGGTCTTGACTCAAAAAACCGAGGGCACTATTACTAAAGATAAGTATTACTCTGACCCTCTCACCACATCCTCCCAACCTCCCCAAACCACACCAACAATCCCAGCACCTTCACGTCTCTGTAACAGGCTCTGGCCTCTGACTCCCTGCCCATAGTCCCCAGGCCCTGTGCTCAGTGCCCTGACCTCAGCCCCCGTCCGGAGCAGGTACTTCACCGCTTCAACCTGGCCGCCGGCAGCAGCTGTATGGAGCAGTCCATAGCCCTTGCGGTCCTTGCAGCCAAGTTCTGCTCCTCGTGCCACCAGCAGTTTCAGGACCTCCAAATGCCCTGGGAAAAGAGGTGTGCTCAAGACCCTGAGTACCTCTCTCCAGAGGCTGCAACACCCTCCCTGCCCTCAGAATCTTAAATGTCAAATTCTTACTCTTCCTGTGAACCCTTTCTCACCTAGAAAAGCTGCCCAATGCACAGGCTGCCGCTCTTTTTTGTCACAGACATGCAAGCTGGCTCCCTTGTTCAGGAGCAGGTTCACCGTCTGTATCAGGATAGGAAAGACACCTGTTCAGAGTTAACTTCATGCTTTCAATGTACCTAAGAGCAGAGGCCTCAGCTCCTGAAAAGGCTGAGGCAGTCTACTGTCTTTGTTCTTGAGCAGAACACTCTGGTGAACTAGAGGAAGCAGGCACTAAGAAGGAGGTCCCAGATAGATTTGGAAGTTTGAGGGAAACTCAAGGGAGTCTCTTCAGGTGATTTGGTTGGTGGTTCTTAAAATTCTTTTTAAAAATCTTTGACAATGTGTTGAAAGACATGGACTCTTGCTTCAGAAAATGGCATATATATACAAACATTTTACATGCAATTTCAGAGTCCAGGTCAAGAATTTCAATCTAACGCGACCATTCATTCAGTGCTTAGGCCCAAGTGTTTATGTAACCATCTAGGCTGCTCTCTGTAGGCCTGATGGCCCAGAAGCTGGGGAAGGTGAGTAGGAAGGGTGGGAAAGGGAAGGCGTGGACTGGAGTGGCCCTCACCTCTAGATGCCCACTGTGCACTGCGTGGTGCAAGGCACAGCGCCCACTCCTGTCAGCAACATTGAGGCTGCTCAATAGGGGCGCCAGAGCCTCAGCACACTTGGTGGCCCGGTTGGCAGCAGCCACATGCAGCGGTGTCTGCCACAGCTTGTCCCGGGCATTCACATCTGCTGAATGTGCCAGCAGCAGTCCCAGCACCTTCTGTTGAGGAGCAAGGGATAACAGAAGAGATGGAGGTGAGCAGGAGGTAAAACCACAGGAAATGGAGGAGGTCATCATGGCACACACAGACCCATCCCTCCACGCCCTAGCAAGAGTCTCTTCTCATCTTTCCAACACACCTAGCTTCTCAATACTCACTTCCCATCTTCTGGATCTTCTTAGAGCTTAAAATATTCTCTACCTTGCTGAGGAAAACGTGGATCCCTTCCTTTTCCTCAAGCTACCTGGTATCACACCCCACCCAGACCCTGGAAATCTTCACCAATACATACAGCTACTACGAAACAAATCCACACATGTAAACAATTCCAATCCCTTACTCCTTCTATGAAAAATAAATGCTCCTGAGACCTTAATGCCCCAAATACCCTCCTTCGGCCCTTTCGTAGGCACCAAAATCATTCCCATCACCTCAGTAAGCAAACAGACAACTGGTTTCTCTCTTGGCTAAAGGATGAGCCTATTCACCACCCATCCCAGTCCCATTGGCCTCAGTTCCTCCCCCCCGGTGGCTGGAGCCAGGGAAGTGACTGCCAAAACCAAGAGAAAGGTCTTTTCCCACTCTCAGGGGTGATGACCCCCACCCACTGTGAGACATGTTCTACCCCTGTGCTGTCTACTTTTGTCCTGGTAGCAAATCACTCCCCCATCCCTCCATCATAAGAAAAGAAATCTCAGTGCCCAGAGGGGGGATCACCTCCAAGGTGGCTCCCCAGGGAGGGATGAGTCACTCAGGCCTCACAGCAGGGTCGCCTGCAGTCTGCCAGCCCAGGTGAAGCTCTCCCCTGACGTGACATCAACTGGCGACACTCAGCCCCCCTTACTAGCCTGTTTTAGGGTTAGGAGGGAGGGGCCAAGATCTGGTGTCTTCCCACCATGGGGCAGACCGGCTTATAGGGCAGAGCACTGAGGCTCTCCAACCTCTGACCTCCAACTTCAAGCAACTCATCCTCTCTGGAACGGTGAAAGGAGGTGGGAGGCCCATACCTCATTTCGGGAGGCAGCAGCACGATGAAGAGGGGTCAGCCACAGTGTGTCCTTAGCGTTGACGTTAGCACCTGTGGGATATAATTTCCTCTCTTGGTGGGAAGCGGAGAGCAGGAGGGAAGAGAAGCCAGTAATCGGGCATGGGAATCTGGATAGAAATGGAGCCTCGCCTGGAGCCTCGCACCAGAGAATCCGTGGTATGAAATCCTTGGGTATATATAAAAAAAAAAAGGCTCCTCCTTCAGGTCCCCTCCCTGGGCGCCACACCTTCCAGCTCCCCACTTTCACCTGACATCAGTAGCAACTGGAGGATGGGGACATCGCCTACGTAGGCAGCAGCATGCAGTGGGGTTCGCCTCTCTTGGTCCTGGGAAGGCAGAAAAGGGGAGCCGCTAGGGGGGTGAACTACCCAGGACCATAAACCAAGTATTAGAGCTCCACACCTTTCCCCCAACCTCTTCCCATAGGTTCTGCAGCCTCCTAAATCCAACCCTAGGTCAAAGCAAGAGCCTAGGGTGGGTGGAGTCAGGGGGTCAGGGCCTCCGCTGTGAAGCAGTCTCCTTCTTCCTGGAGGGGCGGGGGCGCTGCAGACACCGATGGCTCGGAAGACACCGTTTCTGGTTACCCTCAGCCCCACTGGTCTGTGCTGAGCTTGACCTGCTCTCCATCCTCAAATGTAGAGCAGGCGCCCATCCAGGATAGGAAGGGTCGCTGAGCAGACACGGAGCCACCCCACTGGTGGGGAGGGGTCCAGAACACCAGGGCCCAGATGACTGGCTCGCCATCCTTCCTGACCCCAACTCACCAGCACATTGATGTTCTCCTTCTGCGAAAGGAGGGAACGCACTTCCTCCACATCTCGGCTAAAGATGGCCTGGACCAGGGGCGGCTGCAGGCAGAATCGGCGTTCAGGAAGCGGGCCCGGGCAGAACCGGGTGGGGGGAGGGCGGGGACACCGGGTCTGAGGAGGGAGCGTCGCTGAGAGGAGCTCCGCTCTGGGGTCCTGGCTGCGGGGGCTCCCGCGGTGTCCCCGCCGGGCGCCAGGCCCCCAAGGGCACCGGTTCGGTTGAGGGGAGCACGGCGTGGGGCGGGGTGGAAGCTGCGGGAGCCCCGCGCTCGGGCCCAGCCTAGGCCGCACATCCCCGGGCTCGCGTGGCGGCGGCGACCGGCCCTGGAAGGAGGAAGCGGGCAAGGGCACGAGGGCTGACCTGGTCCGTGATGCTGAGTATCCCCATGGCCCGGCCCGGGCTCCGTCCGCATTGAGCTCCCGGCGGCGGCGGCGGCGGCGGCGGCGGCGGCGGCGGCGGCGGCTCCACGGGAACACGGGGCGGCCCAAGCGGCGACTGCAGCGGCTGCGGGCAGAGCGCGGCCCCGCCTACCAGGGGGCTAGCGAGCGGGAGACCGCAGCGCTCCCTGGCGGCCGTCCGGGACCCGGCTGCGGGGCTCCGGGTAGCGCTCCCCGGCCGCCACGCCCGGCTGCCGCGCTGTTCTCTCCGCGCCTGGCTGGTGGTCGCAGGGCCCTCTCAAGACCCCAGCGTCGGCGCGGGCCTTGGCCCTGCGGCGTTCCCGATCGGAGGACCAAATGGCTGGCCAGGGCTCACCCGCCACAGCTCCTCGCCGGAGCGGACCCCTCCCGTCAGCGATTACACACTCCGAGGACCCCACAGACGTGGGGGAAGCAGGGCGTGGAGGTCTGGGGATTATATATGGCAGCAGCCCGAGAGGGAGGGAAGGCGCCTATCTCCCCAGGCGGTGACTTGAGTTGGGTAGAAAAAAATAGCATTAGAGCACAAAGTGCGAAGAGAAATCCTAAGGACACTCCGGATTCAGAAACCCCCGCAAAGAGGCTAGAACAGCTGGCAGCTAACGAAGGTCTCCAAGGCCACCAGAAGAGGCACGTTTCGACTCCCTAATTACCTTACTGCCAGGGTAAGGTGATAGGGTGGCTACCATTTAAAAGGCTCAGCAGTTTCTCCCAGAAAACGGTGGGGATGCTTCCCCTCCTCTGTTGGAGAGGCCAAAGCTGCTCTCCAAATCAGGTAAGATCTGGATGGGGGTCATCCCAGCCCCAGAAGGGAAAAAGGGGGGAGAAAAACTGGTTATTGGAGAAATTGGTGGAATTTATGAAAGGTGATTCCGGGTCCTATTTAAAGCTCTGCAATTCAGTATGTGTGCTGGAAGAAGGGAATACATTTATTTAGGAAGAAGAGTGGCATGTTGGCCCCCTGTCAAGACGTAGATACCAAGTCCTCCCTTGGTATTCTGATTAGCACACATAACGTAGGGGGGCACAGGGAAGGCAGCACAGCACAGAGAACACAGGTAGTTACTCTATATGCTGATGGACAGTGACTGCAATGGGGTATGCGGTGGGGGGGTGCTTGATAATATGGGTGAATGTAGTAACCACAATGTTGCTCATGTGAAGCCTTCGTAAGATTGTATATCACTAATACCTTAATAAAAAAAAAAGTCCTCCCTTGCTCTCCAAGCATTTAGGCCCCTTGTTGCCTTCAGTATCTTGATTCCCACTGGAAAGATACATAGGATGCTGATATCAGTGCCTTTTCCAGAGAAACTGAGTAACAGGGAATGAGGTAGAAGAGGTAAATTTACCTCTCACTATATACCTTCAATCATTTTTTTTTGAATTTTTACTATACTCAAAATGAAATTTACAGTATTACTTGAAACTTACCTCCTCAGGTCTTCCTTGGTTAACAGGTTCTTTTCTTTTTGTTAGGTCTCCTTAATGCTTACACACTTAGTTTACAGTGCTGTGACCAGGTTTAAATTACACAACTTTGTTGCCCATTTCACCTAACGTCTTTGATATACAACTGTCCAACATTTGGAAATGGATTTTAAACTCTTTATTATCTAGAGTCTTCTATCAGAGGACTTCAGTGGGTTTTTTTCCCCTATGGAAAAAAAAAGGATTTTGAGCTCTCTGAAGGCAAGGGCATACATTATTCTTTGTAGCTTCAGCAGAGCAGCACAAGGAACAGCCCTTAACACCTGATGATGAAGGAGATGAGGCTGAGGACGTAGAACCGAAGGCAGCTGGGAAATCAGGTGGATATGGGTGCTGGGACATGTTGATGTGGCTATCAGATATGATGGACTAAGCTAGGATATGGCCCAGAGGAGGGGGAGGAGGAGACCATGTGGCCTCCATTGCCTGAAATAGCTCTTGGTAACCTGAGAAATTGGGAGTCAGGGGTTGAGGTGGGGGTCACGTGCATGGTTCTGGCACAGGAGTAGGAGATGAACAAAGGGAGGTTTCCAGCCAGGTTCTTTCAGCAGCTGGAAGGAGGAGGAAGAGCTAAAAGTTATTTTTAATATTCTTCAGAGCATAGAAAGATGATTTCCCAGTAGGGAAAAAAAGTTTATGATAGATAACAGATACTTCCAGGGCTCAGGGAGATGCACATAGTAGGGGAGGAGGAGGCAGTGAAGTGGTGGCAAAGCACACTTGCGCAGACAGTTCTGCATTTGACTACTGGATTCATACTGGGTAACTCTGGACAGATGCCTGCCTATCTGTAAGCCTCCGTTTTCATTCTCCTAACAAATGCTGATTAAGGACTACTATTGTGAACAGCCCTATTCTGACTGGTTTGGAGGTAGAGACTTAAAAGTAATGGTGTCCAAATAAAAAAAAATAACACAAAAAAAGTAATGGTGTCCATTTTGTACTGTTCACCATGTAAGAACTTATTCACTATGTACGAATTTGTACACCATGTAAGAACTTGTTCGCTATGTTTCAGAAGATTGGAGACGACGAGAACTAGGCTTGGGGTGGATTAATGATTGTGCATTGAGCATTGAGTCCCCTATACAGAATTTTATTGTTGTTAACAACCATTTGATCAATAAATATGAGAGATGCCCTCTCAAAAAAAAAGATAAATAAAATAAAAAAAAAGAAGGTGCTCAAAAAATAATAGGTGAATTTTCTAACACTAACGTGAATTTTCTAATATCAATAAAACATGAAGGGATTTTTAAATTAGAGAAAAGACCAGGTGCCTAACTCAATTCTTGGTATGTTGCATGCACTCTATATGTTAAAACCTGATTTTCCAATAAAACGTGGCAGATTGAAAACACTTTTAGCTCCTATCCTCTCAAAACCCCAGTAATGTCACAATAAAGGGTAAAAAAGCGCATAAATTCATCAGAACAGAAAGAATGGGAGATGACACAACAGCAGATGAAAGCTATCATCAGTATTTTGGAATCTGCAAAGTAAATGGAGGAAAGGAAAGTGTAATAGACAAGCACATGCTAAAACTTCAATGCTGCCTACATCAGGGAGAAATAAATAAGCAAGCTGGTTAGAACTTCAGAATCTGGAAAGGCTCAAAGATTAGAGGCCCCACACGCCTCTGAAGATGGAGGTAAGGTGTGGGATTAAAAAAAAGAGAGTATCTCTCAGTTTCGCCCCCATCAACCCTGAGCAGCCAAATGACTATATCTCTTCCACCTTGGCAGAAAACTGGGGTTTTATTTGAACCTAAGACATTCTGATCTTTGGCACACCAGGAATAGCTTAGAATAGGGTGCCTGACAGGAGGCAATGGTGAATAGGCAACAGCCATTTGGTACATTCTAATTTAAAAAGCTCCTTTCATACCTTCAATGATGGTAAGGACACAATGCTCTCCAATTTAAAAAAAAAAAAAGAGCTTCTGTTAAAGTGTATCTTAAAATAATCTTTAGAGATGATTTTTGGTCATTCACATTTTGAATGTCAGTTTCTTTTTCCATTAATATTTTAATGGTATTCCAATTGTCTGCGTTTGGAATGGCTGAAGTTAGTGAGCAATGTGATAGACATCCAGCCCATGAGCAGGAGTATGATGGCTGCATTAGTTAACCTTCAAGTCATTATTAAGTGACTCAATCTAATGAGCCAAGTAATCTCTTTCTGTATAAAAGTCTATTAAACAAATTACAGGGTCTTGGGAGCAACTCACCAGGCAAGGAAAATCTCATGCATGTGTGAACATTTTTCTTCAAATAATAAAAAACAATTAGAATAAAAATAAATAAATAAATAAAATAAAATGCCTTCTTTACAAGATGTTAAATGTAAGCTAGAGTTTAATGGAGGGCTTCTATTCCATGAAATCCAGGTAAAATGGGCTCAAACTTTAAATCAATCCACATCCATTGGAAATCCCCAAATTAATGCCAATCTCAGGAATAGGGAGAGTTGGAGGTTTGATAACTGTTTGCAGGTCCCTGTTTCTGGCAAGATGTCTTTCTTCCACACCAATTAGACCCAAAAGGCAACAGTGTTTAATTATTTTATATCCCTCCCCCTACCAATATTACTCAAACAAAACTTTCTTGAATGTGGAAAAGTGACTAAAGATTTAGAAGGAAAACAGAGGGGCTTGCACCGTAATAGCATAAACATCTTTAATGCAACAGCAGGTACCACTGTTCTATTTTAAAATGTCCTTCCTGTCTGTACTCCACTGTGGGGGAATTTATATATATATAATTAAGGTATTATTGATACACACTCTTATAAATGTTTCACATGAAAAACAATGTGGTTACTACATACACCCACCCATATTATCAAGTCCCTACCATACCCCTTTGCAGTCACTGTCCATCAGTGTAGTAAGATGCCACAGAGTCACTATTTGCCTTCTCTGTGCTACACTGTCTTCCCTGTGACCCCCCACACCATGTGTACTAAACATAATACCCATCGATCCCCTTCTCCCTCCCTCCCCACCTGCCCTCCCCACACCCCTTCCCTTTGGTAACTGCTAGTCCCTTCTTGGAGTCTGTGAGTCTGATGCGGTTTTGTTCCTTCAGTTTTGCTTCGTTGTTATACTCCACAAATGAGGGAGATCATTTGGCACTTGTCTTTCTATGCCTCGCTTATTTCACTGAGCATAATATCCTCCAGCTCCATCCATGTTGTTGCAAATGGTAGGATTTGTTTTTTTCTTATGG